CTCGTCGAACATCGGTGACACTCGCCAGAATGAACTTGCCGCGTGTATCGGAGTAGCCGCGTGGCAACTGCGGCATTGGTTTCACCAAGTTGTCAAACCTTTTTTCCAGCATGAACGTACCTCCACCGATAGGCCTGAAGTCTTCCCAGAAGATAGCATCAAAAGTGTACGACGCAGCTACGGAGGCCGCCAGCAAAGTGATGCAGAGCGCGGCGCAGTCCGTACGTAAAGCAGAGCAGTCCGGAGACAACCAACTTTTGGACGTGTGCATTTCGTACAACGGGACTTGGCATAAACGTGGCCACACGTCCCACTTTGGTGTTGGCGTGGCAGTGGAACTGAACAGCAGCCTGGTGATAGACTACAGTGTACAGAGAAACTATTGCCAGGAGTGCACACAATGTCCAAAGCCAGGGTCTCAGGAATATGAAGAATGGTTTGAAAGCCAGTCCTGAATGTCAAAAGAATTTCCAGGGGTCTGCTCATGCCATGGAAGTGGAAGCTGCTGCAGTCATTTTTGGGCGTTCTGTGGAGCGACACAACATGCAGTATACCACGATACTCTGCGACAGTGACAGCAAAGTGTTTTCAAAGGTTGCTAGCCTTGGTCCATACGACAAGGAAGTGAAGAAAGTGGACTGTATCAACCATGTTGCAAAGCGTATGTATGCTGGCCTGAATGCTCTGAAGGCAAAGAAAGGCCTTGGTGCAAAGGGCAAGCTGACGAATGTGAAAATTAAGCAGCTGACAAACTACTACGCCTGCACCCTGAAGGACAATGCCCCAGATGTCCCAGCGATGCAGCTTGGAGTGTTTGCCACATTCCAGCACTCTTACTCGACAGATGACGAGCCACGACACACAGCTTGCCCCACTGGAAGAGACTCTTGGTGCCACTTCAACAGGAGCAAGGCACTCGAGGCTGCAGGTGAGCCGCCTGCGTCTAGGCCTTACAAGCCAGCTATTTCCAGGGAGTTAGCCAAGGAGCTGGTGCCCGTCTACAATCGCCTGTCGCGTAGTGACTTGCTCAAGCGCTGTTCGAGGATGAAAACTCAAAACGCAAATGAGTCGTTCAATGCTCTAGTTTGGAAGAGGTGCCCCAAGGTGGAATTTGCCTCCCTCAAGACCGTCGAGTCAGCCGTGGCCTTGGCAGTCCTCGAATTTAATCTGGGACTCTGGGACCTCGAGGCTTTGAGCACGCCCTTTCCGAGATGAGAATCAAGCCAGGGAGCCATCACACCGTGCGTGCTGCGGAGGCCACCCAAAAGAAGATCGGAAAGGCCCAAACAAAGGAACTGGAGTCATCGAAAGCGTCGCACAAGCGGAGAAAGATGGAAGCCGTGGCTGAGGCCCAGAAGGATCGTGAAGAGGAAGGACTGACCTATAGTCCTGGGGCATTTTAGATGATATAGTAAGCAGTTTTCAGCCGAGCACTGTTTGAACTTTCAAACGCATTTTTCTCAGTTTGCCATTTTGAACACTTTTCCATTTTTTGAAAAACTATAATTTTTTAGAGTTTGGACTGAGACTTCTGAAGTGTTGTTTTTCTGGAGTGAAATTTACTGGAGAATTTAGTAAGGTACTTTGTTTTTAATAATTTCAGTTGCTCACAAAGAAAAAGTTGATTTTAGAAAAAGTCATATGAGAGAAAAATGAAGCCATTTTTAAACTTCCTGTTTTCATGGTGAGGCTTCTATATTAAATATTGCTACATATCTTACTTAGTTCATCACTTATTGAATATTACATATATGCAAAAAAGTTGTAATTTTTCTTTTTTTTTAAATAGATTTTTTTCATTGGCGCTGCATCAGTCTTCCTTTTTATGACAACTTACACCGTAAGTTGGCACAAAATCTTCCTTGTTGGTTGAAATTTTGCATGCCTTCCCAAGTTTGCATAAGTAACATACGGTAAAAGTTTCATTGTAATCGGCAGTGTTTAAAAAGTAGACCCCTGTAGGCCGTGCCTCCCCTTCAGTATTTGCAAACCCCTCCAAAAAAAAAACCATGACAGCAGTGCACTTTTTTGGTAACTGCCACACTGTGCATGTAAATATAAAAATTTAAAACTCTCGTTAAGAAAAATTAGGGAGAGTACCCGGGCTTTCAATTCCACCAAAAACGTTTCTTTCTTTCCTACAATGACAATCTCAAGTGCTACTATAGGACCACAAAATTTTCTGATGACCACAACATAAATATTGATACCATGATGAAAAGCCCAAAAAAACTAACATGCCAACAAACTGAAGATATAATATGCTTGTGCAAGCAGTATTAAGTATATTTAAAATCCTATCTACAAGATGTCATAAAATAAGTTCCCCATACTATAGGACAATAATGATGTAAACTGTGAGATGTAATTGGGGATTGTTCACACTATAAAAACACAAAGTAGAAAAGGTCAGAAGCAAATAGTATTTAGCTTTTCCCTTTTGGCTCTGAATGCAATGCTGCTTCCTGCCATCTTATTTTGTTACAGGAAGTACCGCTACATAGCATACCACCAATTCACATGGTGGGTGCACCAGAAGCTGGGCCGTAGAAACAGAGTGGTGCTGCCCAGCTGCACCATGTGCCGGATTTGGCAAGAATTCCCATCCGCAGATGGGATGTACAGGGGGTTCAAATATTGGGCACCTGAAGGAATCGTTTACAGCATATATTGTCAAGCCCTTCAAAACCCCTCATCAATAAAAAAGCATATTCCACCAAGTTCGAGGCTCAAAAGTTGTAGGTAGCCTTCCGTTTACCGCACCCTCGGGTCCAGTCTTTCCTGCTTCTTCCTCGCCCTCTCGGTCATTCTTCCTGGATCTCCCGCATCCTGCCAAGCTAGATCAGCTGGCCCCCATTCCCCACTCTCCCGGATCCCCGGACGAGCGAGCATTACCGCATGGTGCGTCACCCCCCCTCAGGGACGGTGGGTGGGGTACGTGGGGTGAGGGTATAAGAAGGGGAAGCAGGACACTGGGGAGCTCTCTCGACCTTCGGACCGGGGCAACAGAGGAAGATGACAGACGGACGACAGCTACGAAGGACGCAGTACTTTCACGACGCATGAGTCCTAGTGAACTGTTTTAAGAGTGCACACTGTGTGAGCGACTTCTTGGAAAGTGAGCAAAAGCATGTCCCGATCGAGCATCGATTGGGTGACGACCCACATAATCTGGTGCCCATGTAGGAGCCAGATCGGTTAGCCGTTGTTTTCGCTTCTACCAAAAAGGTTGCGCACTTTGCGCTTTGCGGATTTTGGAAGGTAGCGTGTGCTGATTGTTCGAATTCATAGAAACCGACGATGGTCAACACCAAGTCGACCAGCAGCGCAATTAAGGACGATTCGTCGGAGAACGAGTCTGGGCGGGATAGCGCGGAGGCTACTCCGATTAGTGGAGACACGGGCTGACACATGCCCCCAGGGACTGGGACTTTGCCCCCAGCTCCACCAGCAGCGGAAGGCATGTTAGACGTGAGTGAGCTGATGTGTGCAATGACGCAGATGATAAACAAGATATTGCGGCAGATGGGGACAGCGCCAAGTGTCGCGAGTGCTGCACCTTTGTCAATACTCCGCCCACGGTTGAACGTGCCTACGCCGACGTATTCGGGGTACTCCCGACAAAAAATCGGTGCACTATTTTGTACAGGGGTTAGATGTGTACGTAACTGCTTTGGGGGCATCTGATGCAATAGATCTGCTGCAGATCATGCCAATTGCACTAACGGGCGACGCCGTGCGTTGGAGACAGCCGCAAACACCATTCCAATCAATGGCGAACTTCCGGACACGATTCCGGGAGGAATTCCTTCTCTCCGACTACAAGATGCAGATTCGAGATGAGCTGGCGAGCCGCACTCAGCACACGGATGAGAGCCTTGTGGAGTATGTTTGCACACTCCAGAAGCTCTACTCGAGGGCCAAACCCTCCATGCCTAACGTAGAGGAAGTAGCAAGGGCGATCTGCCAGTGCCATCCCAGATTCAAGGCGTATCTGTGAGGATGCAATTTTGCAAGACCTCGAAGCACTGGCGAGAGAGGCACGCACGATTCAAGCGGGTCAGCCAATGCGATGGAGCTGCAAGTAGCAAACGAGATCTTACGTCGGTCCGTCAAACTGCACAACCTGCAGTACATGACAGTGCTGTGCAGCGGGGACAGCAAAGCATTCAACCATGTTGCAGGACTTGATCTATACTACAAGGGCATGAGAAAAGAAGACTGTGCGAACCACGTCGCCAAAAGGATGTATGCTGGCATGGAGGCCCGAAAGACGACAAAAAAAAAAGGTCTTGGTGGAAGGGGGAAACTAACGAACTTTGCCATGAAGAGATTGACTGGCTACTACGCATCTACACTGAAGACCAGTTACCCAGACGTTCCAGCCATGCAGAAGGCGGTACAGTCTACGCTCGTTACAACGGATCTGGTTAAAACAGACTTTCAAACATAACATACCGGTTTGTGGAGTGCGGTTGGTTTTCTTATCTGTCCGCATTGACTGAACTTCGTTTATTGCGGATTCGGCTAAAACATACATTCGGATATAATGTACCATTTTAAAAGACTTTTTTGTATATTTTCGCTTCGTTATTGCGGACTTCTTGACAGCCGACATTTTCTAATTTCGAAAATTGCTTGGCTTTTCGACGACGCCGCGAGCGCGACGGCGGCCATTTTTCACACGCTTGGGGTGCGCTCCGTATGCCCTCTGGGATGTCGCATTGTCGGCAATGTCGGAAAAAACAGATGGAGTCACTCTAGCGGCCAAGCGGAGTTTTTGAACGGCGAGGGTGGCAAGGGTATAAGACTCCTACTTCGAAGTCAACATTGTCCGAAGTCAAATAGAGCGAACACGACTTCCGTTTCACGGATCTCCACATTTTCTGGCGTTTCAAACACCTTGCAACCTCCCCAACCTGCCCTGTACTCGAACGTCAGTGCGTAGTCACGTTAGTTTCCGAAAGTGATTTGTGTTGTGGCTACATTCTGCAGCTTCAATGACGTCGAAGCGGAAGCGAATCTCACTGAAGGAGAAGCTTGAGATCATCCAAGCAGTCGACCGGGGGAAGAAACAATCGGCCGTTGCAGACACCTTCAGACTCTCAATGCAAACTGTAAATACGATCATGAAGAACAAAGAGGTCGTCCTCGGAAAACAGGTAATGGGTGACCTGCTCCCAAAGAAGTTCCGACTCCGCGACGCTACTTTTCCAGAAGTCGAGGACGCCTTACTGATCTGGCTCCGTGACGCTCGTTCACGAGACATCCCTGTGAATGGTTTGCTTTTGCGGAAGCGTGCGGAGCAATTGGCAGCCATTCTGGGCCACGATGACTTCTTGTGCAGCGATGGTTGGTTAAGCCGCTTTAAAGCGAGGCACGGGGTAACTTTCAAGTGCATTTCCGGAGAGTCGGACGGCGTTGATGACGGTGTTGTGGCGAACTGGAAAAACCAGTCTCTTCCGGGTCTGCTCGCGGGCTACGAACCGCGTAACATCTTCAACGCCGACGAAAGCGGACTCTACTACAAAATGAGGCCGAGAAAGACCTACAGTCTCTCTGGGGAACCGTGCCACGGAGGAAAAAGATCTAAAGAGCGCGTGAGCGTTCTCTTCTGCTGCAACATGGACGGAACCGAAAAGACAAACCTGCTATTGATTGGCAAGGCTAAGCGACCTATGTGCTTGCGCAAGGTGCACGTTCCGGTAGATTGGGCATCCAACAAAAGCGCGTGGATGACGCGGGACATTTTTAATAAGTGGTTGCTGGATTTCGATGGCAGGTTGAAGAAAGAGAAGAGGAAGGTGTTACTTTTCCTTGATAACTGCTCCAGCCACATGCAGGTTCCAGAGCTCCAGTCCACAAAGGTGGTGTACTTCCCACCGTGCACAACATTGAAGCTACAACCCATTGACCAGGGCATCGTGCACTCCGTGAAGTCGAGATATCGGATGCGGCTCGCTGAACGTTTGCTTTACAACATGCAGCGAAATATTGACTCTGTCATTGACCTCAAGTTTGCAGTGCAGGTTGTCTCTGCTGTGTGGGAACAAGTTGAAGCACGTGTCATCAAGAACTGTTTCCGGAAGGCTGGTTTCGTTTTCAACGACAGTGAAGAGCCCGTCCCTCTAGTAGACAATCCTGACGAGCCAGAGCCAGGGTTTTGGGAAGCTGTTGAGAAAGCTTTTGGTTCAGAAGACTTTTCGGATTATGTTAACATTGATGCTGATGTCGTCAGAACGGAGCAACTAACAGATGAAGAAATAGTTGCTCAGGTGAGAGGACTCTCTACTTGTGACCAAGAGGAGGGGGAAGAGGGTGACGAAGAGGCTGTGACTAGAAAAGTAACAACTGCTGAAGCCCTGGATCATATCAACGCCCTCAAGTGCTTCTTTGTGCAGAATGGGGCACCGGAGGAGGTGTTGCGTCTTGTGAAAATGGAGCATGGAATTGTGGCAAATGCTGTGAGCCGTACTGCCCAATTGAAGATCACCACTTTCTTCCAGAATGCCTAGTGTAAACAATAAACAAGTTCTTGTTAACAGACACTTGTGTTTCATTAATCTTGCTGGTTACAACAGACTCTATTCCTAATCCTCGTCAAAGTCTGTTATAGCAGTATCTGAATTCTGCATACTCCTTTTACAACAGACCAAAATCGTTGTCCATTCCAAGGTCAGTTATAACGAGCGTAGACTGTATTTGCCAGCCTCCTCCTGGTGTCACTTCAATTGCCAGAAAGCGCTGGAGGCAGCAAGAGAGTCATTGAAGCCACAGCCAAACCGTCCTGCCTTCTCGAGACATCACAAAGAAGTTGGTGCCCCTCTACAACAGACTCTCATGGCAGGACCTACTCGAGAGGTGTGCTAGGATGGGAACACAGAACAACAACGAGTCGTTCAATGCTGTGGTGTGGAGGCGGTGTCCCAAGACGGATTTCGCCTCTCGAAGAACTGTGGAGACCGCCGTGGCTCTAGCAGTGCTGGAATTTAACCGGGGCCCCAAGGGCTTTGGGAGGGCCCTCCATGAGATGGGAATAGAGCCCGGAAACCACCAGGTTCAGCACACTGACAAGGCCGTCCAAGCCAAGGCCTCCAAGGCCAAGCAGAGGCACTCAACTCTTTGAAAGTGGCCCAGAAGCTGAGGAAGCTGGAGGCAATCACCAAGACGCAGCGGATCCAGGCAGCCGAAGGGGAGACCTACTCTGCTGGCGCCTTTTAGTGCAGACACACTGCGACAAACTAATAAAGTAAAGGCGCTCAATGTTTGAATGCGTTTTTCACAGTTTCTTCTTTTTGCTGTAAACTTTGTCGCAAGGCATCTCGATGGGCTAAGCATTATAAAAAAGACAGTGCAGTCCGAATGTCTCCTCATCTCGACAACTTTCCTGTCGCTGTGCTATCGGCACGCTACCGTTTGATAGATGAATTTCTTTTTCAGGCAAGATGCACAAACAAACCTTTTTCGGAACGCTAATTGCTGTCTTGGCTTTCAAATCAAATCGGTTTTACCCGCTGGATTAGGCACTAATCAACTGAAAAGGGGCAGCGGTCCGGCTACGCCTCTCGTCTCGACGGTCTCAACAGCAGCGCAGCCATCCTGTTTGTTAGTGCACGAAGAGCACGCTTGAGTGTCAGTCTGCGGTGGCACTCCTGTCTGTTTAGTGAAAGGAGCACCAAACTCTCGCGCTTCGGAGCACGGACTTAACGCCCAATGAGATGTTGAAGGGCCCCCGTCTTTTACACAAAGTGTGAAACAGCTGTTCAAGAGCATTCAGTCAGCCAACTGCCCATTGGCAGAAGATAGAAAGGAAAATACTAGAGCAGTTATTTTTAAATGGGGTTCTGCAGACATGCTGGGGTCTGGAAAGTCATTTTTAGGGGCCATGAAGCCCCCTCTCCTCAACCAATCTTTCGTTCAAAAAAAATAATTTTTTTTTACTTTGGTTAGGTGGCACAAGCTAAAGGGCACAGCCGTTACCATCTATATATCAATTCATTTTTTTTACTTTATGGTTCTCACATCTTTTGTTGATAACAGTAAAGGATACCCCTTTTGCACTGCAATTAGGATACTTATTTTATACTCTTTCAACTTTCCCCTTCTTTCATTGGCATGGGGTCGCCCATCACTTTGGCGGGTCCCCCAAGGGGTCCCCAAAACATCCATGCTTGAGAACCACTACACTAGAGTGTAGAAACACAAATTAACAGGCAGCCTTTGGGCAGCTTTTTGCACCAATGGGCACCTCATGAGGCAATAACCCCTCGCACTAGTCCCACACACTCCTATTACAGTACTGCACCCCTACGCACAAGTCCCACCTTGCTAGAGGAACTGTGGCACAGTGGTGGCAGGTCGTGTTAAACGAACACACTTCCACCTCAGTGAAAAAGCTGTGTAACTATTAGTAGTCTTTGGACACAGTACCAAAGCACGATCTGCTACTGCAACACGGAATACCCTATAGCCACAGTGGAATTGCCACCTGAGAATGAAAGCCACGCTTTGACATCGAGGCCCTCCTCTATCACAAGGGCGACAATCTTGTAGAAAAAAAACTGGCACTCACCCGCTGCTCCCACCATCACTCTAAATATGATGAAGCGTTGTTACCTGCTGGTCACAGCAAGCTTCATTCAGGCATTGTGCTGCAGGCAGGCCTGCTGGGGTCTCCGACTCGTAAGCAGACCCTTTACACACCCAGCACTTGACGCACCCACACGACATGCGAAGCAGGCAGCACACCTGGCAGGAGAAAGGATACAGTCATGTCTCGTTAATATGGACCCCGTTAATCGGGACACCCCGCAATATGGACGAAATTTTCGGCGACCGGTCTCCCGCCATGCAATTCTGTCCCGTTAATACAGAAACCCGCAGTCCGGACTATGGACGGCTATTTTGGGGACGAAACGGGAAAATACAGGCATTTTTGACTCGTTAATATGGACACGTGTCCACGAAAAAAAAATATTAGTGACCCCAGTGTGTACTACTCGGAATTCACCATTGCCTTTTTGTTCCCCGCCTGGTTACTTTGAAGGCGAGTCCACATACCCGACAGAAGAAAAGGTTAGTGAATCGTAGAGGTCACAGTTTGTACCCGGAATTCACTATTGTCCTCCACCCTTGAGATAAGAGCTGTTTTTGTTTTTTTTTTGTTTTGTTTTGTCTTGTCTTTCAAGCTTAAACGTATGCCATCTCCTTCCGGGTTGGCATACGTGATGAATCACATTCGTTGTGCATAAGAGGCAAGAGGCAAGGCTGGACGCTTCTCCGGTCATTTCGGAGGTGGAGACGATGACAGGTGTTAAGCGTAAACGGACAGAGCTTTCTGCTCAGCTGAAAAAGGAGATATGCAAATTCAAAATTGAAACGCCTTCAGCGTCTGTTCAGTACGTGAAAGAGTGGAGTGAAAAACACCTTGGCGTTGATCTCGGAAAATCGACAGTCCACGCAATTCTAAAAGAATCAAAGAAATGGATGAGCGTTCCCACAGTCAGCTCCAGTTCCTGCCAGCAGCGACACCCAAAGTTTGAGAAGTTGGAGGAGGCCGTCAACATCTGGTTTGCGGAAATGCGCTCCAGAGGGGCCGCCGTCAGCGACGAGATGCTGCAAGAAAAGGCGAAGGAGTTCGGCACAACGATGGGTAAGTCAGTTCTGAGCGTATCTTTTTAAGCACTGAGTTTGAAAATGTTTTCTCAAAATGTTACGCATTCCTCCCCAAAAATGTTGTTTCTTCTAATGATTTTTCTAGTTGCTCGTTCTTGTGCAATTACGCATCTACGTTAAAATAACTGTTCTCTCTTCAGTGGTTTTATTTTAATGTCTGCAATCTTCACGTCTTTATGCAGACATTCATGACCTGAACTACTCAAGGGGTTGGCTCAGCAGGTTTAAGAGAAGGCATGGAATTTCAAGCCACCGTATTCATGGAGAGAGTGGAAGCGTGGATACAGCCGCCGTTGCCAGTGCTCGGAAACAGCTTGCAGAATTTCTTGCTCAGTATTCTCCAGATGATATTTACAACTTCGACGAAACTGGCTTTTTTTACAAGTTGGGCCCATCTTCGACTCTGGCATCCGAACCTGTGGCTGGAAACAAGCGAAGCAAAGAGAGAATCACGGTGGGATTCTTGTGCAACGCGAGCGGCACCCACAAGTGGAAGCCCATCGTCGTGGCAAAAGCGGAGCGACCACGATATTTTGGAAAGACATTTGACCCGAACATGTATTGCTCTTACAATTGCAACAAGAAAGCATGGATGACAGGAAAGATATTTGAAATCTTCTTGGCAAAATTCGACCGCTTCTTGAAGGCTGAGAAGAGGAGGGCTGTTTTGTTGGTTGATAACGCATCATGCCATTCTGTTCATGCGGACTATGAAAACCTTATCTTGAAGTTCTTTCCACCCAACATGACTGCCAAAATACAGCCCTTGGACGCAGGAATTATTCGCGCGGTTAAGGCACACTACAGAGGTAAACTTGTGCGGCACTACATCGCTTGCGCGGAAGACAACGAACCGCAAACTGTTGACTTGAGGTGGTGCCTTCAAAAGCTGAAGAGGGCGTGGGACGCGGTGAGGCCTCAAACCATTGTGAACTGCTGGCGTCACGCAGGTATTCTTGTTAACAGCTCTGCTATGGAGGTGGAGGATCCGATGGATGAACTTCCGCTCGCGGCCCTTCGTGAAGCTCTTCGACAACTCGGGGAGAAAAACCCAGATGAAGAGGCATCGGCATTCTTGGATATAGACGAAGAGACTAACAGCTGGGAGCCTATGAGCGACGAGCAGATCATGGAGCTTGTCGGTGAATCCGCTCAACAGGGCCATCAACTTGTCGAAAACTTTGCGCCGACAGAAACAGACGATGAAGAGAGACCAACCGTTACTCGATGTGAAGCTCGCCGTGGCTTGGGGACAGCGATCGCCTACCTTGAGCAGGAGGGGGATGGAGAACGTGCACTTCAAGTGGCCGAAGTGTTGCGCTTTTTGGACACTAAAGTGGGATCGAAAGCGTCAGTGCAAACTCATATCTCCTCGCTCTTTGCGAAATAAACAATGCTTTTTTTTAACAATTATTACCTAATGTTTGTGTTTTTGACCTTGATTCGTTATTATGGACGATTCACATTATGCACGATTTTTCTGGGGAACGGAAGCGTCCATATTAACGAGACATGACTGTATATGCAGCAATGTCACCTTCACATGACAAGTACCACATTAGAGCACAAACACTTCTTTGTTTCTCAGCTGAAACTAAGACACCTTTGCCCTAAGTTTTACAAAAAAGTACATCATGGAGCCCCCAAAGCACCAGGTGTTTGAAAGAACAGAAAATCATTTTTGTTTTAAAAGAAAAAACAAATTGTGGATAGCCAAACACTGTCTCTGCCCAAGTGCAGCACTAGTGGTCAGGATGAGATGCCAGTTTCAGAACTTACCATTATCTTATTTAATAATCATGAGCAATTTGCAAAACCTATCAATGAGCAAATTATGTTTATTCCCAGTGACAGACCCCATTCAGGTTGAGGTGTTAATAGGCTTCGTTAGCCACCGTTGCCACATTAAACAATTCTGAAAAGTACCTATAACTTCACAATAGGATAAAGGAAAGTTGTGACACTTTGAGAACTGGTCCCAACCACTAGCACTACATTTGGGCAAAGACTGGGCTTTCAGAAATGTATAGATTATTTTTGAGCCGACAAAAACTTTTTTTTTTCCCACCAGGGGTAGTTAAGGTTAGCTTAGAGTTAGGAACCATTTTTGGAAAAGAATTAATTTTAGATCACCTTTGTATAGAGGAATTTTTGTTTTATATCAGAAAAGTAGCTCTGGAGCAGCACATACAAAAGTTTGTAGTAGTTTGGCACAGTTTCTTATTAGTGATATAGATATGCATTCAGGCAATCACTATTGTTTGATGACTATTAAAACCCAAAGTTTCGGTTTTAATAGGCATCCTAATTGCCCTTCAACAGCGGTAAAACTGCCACAAATTTAGTAATATTTGTGTTTTGTTTCTATTACAGTAATAGAAGTGGCATTTGACCTTTCGTAGCAGAATCTGTTGCAGGTAAAATATTGGTATGGAGAAGGCACTGATGCTTTGGGAGCAGATGCCGTCTGTTAGCAAATAAAAAATAAATAAAAAGCTTAAAAAAGACGCGAGACGAGATTCCCGCGACGACGAAGCGCAAAGCGAGAGACGGCGGCAAAAACCATGCAAGACCAGATGGATACAGGGTACTTTGTATCAGGCGGCCCCATGAGCCACCTAGCTCACGCATGCTTAATTACGTTCTTAGTTTAGTTTCGGTTCTGAAAGGCGACCGAAATTGGTCCTTTGGCGCAGGCTTGGCGCAGATTACTCACATTTTGGCAAAATGTAGCAGTATGTAGCAGGGTTTGCCCCTTGGCGCAGTTTGGCGAAATTGGCGCAGCAATCGCATCACTGTTGCAGGAAAAATATACCGTAGGAAACGGGCCCTGCACACTTCCGGTGCTCTTCACTCAAACAAACACCAAACCAGCGTAATCAGATTAAAATCCCTGTCCGGCGGGGATTCTGATCCAATAATTTTGATCTCACGGCGGGGTGATGTAGTTCCGTCAAGCTCACTCCAGCATGCTTGTTGGCTGCAGAGTTGGCAAAGGCAGGGGCATGTGGTTTCCAAAAGCGGTTTCTGTGCGCTATCACTTGTACAAAGCAAGCAATCTGTACAGTTATGCTCTCGTGCCCATGCTTTAGTTGCCATTTTAGAAGTTTTGTTTAGTTCGACATGCATGTCCTCAGTCTGAATAGCAACTCTGATGGAGTGATTCGGTTCAGAGTCACGGGTCTGTGTATGTAAATTTAGACGAGCATGTTGACGTACTTATTAAGAAAATGAAAAAGCATAACACAAAAAGATCTAAATGGGTGCACTAGAAGTAGCACGCACATTTCGAACTTGAAGACGATCAAGCGTGCTCTCCTAATGCTGTCGTTGGTTGGAGTAGCTTAATTTATACACGACGTCAACATTTTTGCGCCAAGATCGCTCCCCCTCCCCTCCCTCAAAAGCAGGCAGTGCAGTGATGTGATTGGCCTAAGCCATTTTGGCGCACGTTTCGGAGCAACCAAAACAGAGTTTTGGAGCAGCAAATGCTCCCTTTGGAGCAACGAAAACAGTGTTTTGGAGCAGCAAAAGCGGCTTTTCAAGCAGCCAAGGCAGTGCTTCAGAGCAGCAAAAGTGGATTTTGGAGCAGATATTGTAAGGAAAATAAAAATATTTGTTTTAAGTGCTGTACAAACGAAGGGCACTTTGTGTTGTGTTGTGTTCTGATGTGACGTGTTGTGACGGAACTCGCTCCTTCTGTTTTCACTGCTCAGACATCCCACAAGTGTACAGC